TACCCGAGCACCGGCTTCTTGGCACACGCGCGCCACGGCTCCTTGAAGGGGCAAAGAGACAAGAACCCCTCAAATGGCACACGCGGCCATGTGGTCGCCGAGCGGATCAAGATGGCTGCGGCAAGCGCATGTGCGGGGCGCAACTGTGGGGGTTGGGGGGGTTTGGATGGAAGCCTTCATGGCTCTGATTTTTTCGCTTNNGGTGTAGAGGAATCCATATGTTCGCCTTGAGGGGGTGGGGGGGGTGGTAAATGGTTATTGTATGATGAACCGACCCTTTCCAGCACAGCAGCGAGAAAAAAATCCGTGCAAAAAAAACTGCCACTCCAGGCGTAGCCAGCCCTGCAAAACGGCACAGCTGTTGACTTGTTGCTCAGCCTTGCAGTGTCGTAGTCCGGACCGGACCACAACCCCTCATGCAGGCTTAAACATCCGCAGAAAAAATGTTAGGAGGTTTCAGATCGTCGCTTCAGAGTCAGAGTCCGGGGTAATAGTCCGGGGCGTCTGGGCTGGAAATCGTAGCTCTGAAAGGTGGAGCTGACGGGATTTGAGGGGGTAGGCGGCGGAGCCTCCGGCGAGGGAAAAATATGGATCGGGACCGGGAACCTCGCATGGTGTACCGGCTTGTGGGCGTGCAGTCGAAGGCATGTTGCATGTCATCCGCTCATGTACGTGTTGCCGTTGCCCCAGCGTGGCCGGATCCGGTGAAGGTCGGTTCCAGCTGCACGTTCCCGAGCATGTCCGAAAGTGCCGCGTGTGGCTGTGATGTAACCGCCAGGCGCCGCGCACGGGGCACGCCCGCTGGCTATGGCAGGAATGTCCTCACTAATTCGTTCACAAGATGGCTGTCGTAGGAAGCACTGGGCGCGAACGCCTCGTAGGCTTCCAGGTCTGCCACTGCGCTGATCATGTGGGCGAGGGCGTGCGAATCCACTGGCGACGCGCTGCGCCTAAGAGAGCGGCCCAATGGTCGCCCACGTCCCCGTAAATGTTCCAAGCTTGCGCTGCGTCTGCGGACAAGGAGCAAAGGCACGTACAAGCACGACAGCACATTTTTACGCGGGGAGGTAGCGCGTCGCATTGTGCCACTTCGTCCACTGTGAGTGAGACCTGCATGCCGACAGGTAGCCAAGCTATTCAAGCAAGAAACCGCAAGCGACATTATGACTATAACGTTCGCACACGAAAGCTACAGGTACTTGACGCCTGAACTTGGACATCATTTCCTCAGAGGCCGGCAACCATTCCAGCGCACGTTTAACCCATTTGCTGCATGGTCCGCAGCTCACATGACGAGCAATTCTGCAATGTTCCGGACCAAGGCTGCGGATGGAGCCGTTGCTGGAAGCCAAGCACGCGCCCAATCTAATGGTGAAGAACCTCATGCCATGGCAAGCTCCAATCAAGGCCAATGGTGGAGCACGCAAGGTGCGAAGCAAACGTCACCAATGTCACCATTCACAGTCAAACTGGCGTAAGTGGTGATGATAAATCTTGCGATGCCCTGCTCCAAAGCACGCGATGGAAGTAACAACCGCCTCAACGTATTTAATGCGCAACCTGCTGGGAAACCCCTTTCGCAAAGACGCTATTTGTCAGCCCAGAACGTGTGGGATGTGGATGACACATGCAAATCATGAGTGCCCAACATTGAGAGATGGCATGCCAACCATTTGTGACAGGCCAGAACAACCTTGATGCAAATATCAATGTTCAACCAAATCTTTTCACGCGGCTGTGCCACGGTTGTACGAAGGTGGGTCTTTGTGATGCGCGATGCAATGTGTTGCACGAATTTTCGTTTCACCTGATACACCAAAGAGTCTTGCATTTGGACAGCTCCGGTGAAAATTTTGACAGGTCGTGACTGCATCCGAGGACCTCCTCCGGACTTTTAAGCGATCATCAATTTCAGACGTGGCCCGGTGCTGCGAAATGCTCGTCAAGCAGCTGGTGCAAGGTTTTTTCCGCTTGGGTTGCCACTAGCGGGAGCCCATGTTTGTGGAAAACAGACGGGCACAGGCACGCGAACTGTTGCACGTCTCCAAAATGAAATGGCACATTAGGCAGCCACAGCCAACGGGCCAGTCCAAGGATGTATATGTGCGCTGCAAGGCGCCACGCAAAGGCATCGGGCCAAGGATGCCTTCTGCCCCTAGCTTGGGTTAGTTGCAACCAGGTGCGAGCCAGGAAGGCCGTTGGCCAACACTTCCACTTTCATGTCCCGCACATGAACATTCGCAGCGACACGAGCCGCCGCTTCACCACAAATATGCTCCACAGTGCAACGGCATCATACCACAGTGAGGCCAAGTACCGACGCATACCGACGCCTTGTGATGTCTGCCGTGTGCTGACCCCATAGCTGGGATCCTTCTCCACGAGCTCGGCCTGAAGTTAGCAGCCTTTGCTGCTCAGATGGGTCGCCGGTTGCAAAGGCTGAATCAATTGTCAATAAAATTTACAGTCTCAGCAGCACCCGGGTTTCAGCAATCACGACCACATTATGTACTTACAGCGGCTTTGCCTGCCGGTCCCGTTGGACTCCGCACGGCTAGAAAGGTGGCCATTGCCACCAAGGGCATCAATCTCTTCAACATTTGCAGCACAGATAGCAAGGGCTTGCTGGCTTGCCTGGTTCACTTCGAAACCTGCAACAAGCCTTTGATCGCAGGGGACTACTTCTCGATCCTACAACATGGAGCTCTCTGGTTATAGCCCTAAGCATACACAAGAATGCTGTCTTTCGATTTGCAAGGCCACAAAACTTGTATGCTTCTCCACGTCCCAGCTTGTGATGCGTGTGTCCAGAATTTCACTTCGCAGGAAATCCGCACTGCAGGGATGCCCAGCGCGCGTTCATTCTGCCGCAACGTTGTACTTGGAAGAAAAAGCAAAAGAAGCCTACCAACTACAGAATTTGCGTTGGCCACCCAAATATATTACCGAGGAACATGCTATCAGCAGTCGTAGCTGCTGCGCCATCACGGCTATCCGTCGACTGGAAACCGGGTGAGCACGCAGAGCAGCGGCAGGCGAACATGTCAACTGACACAGCAAGGCAACTGTACTCATCTGCGCGTAACAGCAGTTAACATTCAAATCAGAACTTGTTCCATTCAAGTCAATAACCTCAGAAGTGCATGGATGGAACGACACAAATCATCAGGCCAAATAGGATCTTCTGTGTCCTCTCTGGATATTCATAATGAGTGCGGCAGTAATTATTTGTCAATACTGCCAAGAACAGGACCCCTGGAAACCGTTATCCAGAAGCATCAGCAGCAGCAGCAGCAATCACCGTCCATCAAAATCACCGTCCATCAACACAACGACAACCACAACGACCGCTTCCACCGCCACCCCGCAATCACCAGCACTGCCGCCGCTGGCTGCTACCACGACATGTCGAGAAGATGAGGAACAAGCACCGCCAAAATCAATGAGGAACACCACGGCAACGACTGCCGCCTCACCACCAGCACCACCGCCACCGCNNACCAGCACCAGCACCACCACCGCCATCACCACCACTCCACTGCCACTGCTC